GGACAGTGAGTGATAGGAACCAGGAGAGGAGGCCAGTGGACACTGAGTGATGATAGGAACCAGGAGAGGAGGCCAGTGGACAGTGAGTGATGGGGACCAGGAGAGGAGGCCAGTGGACAGTGAGTGATGGGGACCAGGAGAGGAGGCCAGTGGACAGAGTGATGATGGGTTCATCCCACCTGTAGATTCTCTTTTTATGAACAACCAAAACACATAGCTTGGAAATTTAAATGGCTCTAAGGTGTGCTTGTGTATTAATTGTTTCTGCTAAGCACATCCACTATTAAAGATCCAAAATTCTCTTTGAAGTAAAATTTGGAAATATAAACAGTATCAACTTAAACCAATGAGAGAAAAATATCTTAAAGAAAGGTCGACATGCATAAGGTGGAAAACAGATGTGAGCTCAGTGATAGCTGAAACCAAGAGAAAAAGCACAGCCCAGAAAGAGCCAGGAGAGGAGGCCAGTGGACAGGAAGAGATGGGGACCAGGACAGGATGCCAGTGGACGGTGAGTGATGGGAACCAGGAGAGGAGGCCAGTGGACAGTGAGTGATGGGAACCAGGAGAGGAGGCCAGTGGACAGTGAGTGATGGGAACCAGGAGAGGAGGCCAGTGGACAGTGAATGATGGGAACCAGGAGAGGAGGCCAGTGGACAGTGAATGATGGGAACCAGGAGAGGAGGCCAGTGGACAGTGAATGATGGGAACCAGGAGAGGAGGCCAGTGGACAGTGAATGATGGGAACCAGGAGAGGAGGCCAGTGGACAGTGAATGATGGGAACCAGGAGAGGAGGCCAGTGGACAGTGAGTGATGGGAACCAGGAGAGGAGGCCAGTGGACAGTGAATGATGGGAACCAGGAGAGGAGGCCAGTGGACAGTGAATGATGGGAACCTACCCAGGCAACTCAGAGGAGAGGTGTGATGGTTGGTGGAAGGTTAGCACAGGGACCATCTAAGGTCACTTCCCCTATAATTTTAGGAGACTGTCTGTGTCTCCTTCCTGCTGTTGTGCTTCTGTATGAGAAGGTCAGTGGGCTAGCCTTGTCTCACGTGTTCAATCTTCATTAACTTCTAATGAACCAGCTGGGAAAGCTGACGATTTCCATGTGAGTAGTTGACAGAGATAAGCCGTCTTCACCTGGAGAGCAGTGATGGCTCTCTCATCCTGGTAAGGAGACTATCTGTGGGTGAGCTCACATGCCCATCCTTCTCAAGAAATTCAGAGCCACTCTGCACTGCTATCCATGCCTGGTGAGGTGAGGGGGTTTCTGTGGTCTCGGGGCGATGCTCCCCACTCCTCTGCAGTATACTCTAATGGCTTGGTCCTGGAATTCTGAGCCATACACAGTTATATTTGGCCTTTACTGAAGAAAGGCAACGTAGCCCACTTCTGACACTGAATTTCTGCCACCGTCTGAGCATTTTATTTTAACGAGTTCTCATGCAGAGCCTTGCCCTTTCTTTTAGCCATCGCGTGTTCTTGTCTAATCCGGAAGTGTGGTTTCACCTCAGAGAAGTGATGTGGGAGACCTACAAGGAAAAGGATTTACAACTGGCTTTTCCCAAAGCCGACCTTTTATGGCGGTTGTCTCCTTCCAGCCTGACAAGCATCACTATTAACCTTTTATTCTCCATTTCTTTACCCTGGTAGCTGTTTTTGTAATTATTGCTTTTATAAAATCTAGAATAGATTTTAATAAGATATTTTTAATATTTATCATTTTTCAATTTTATTTGTTACATTTTATTTATTAATTTTATTTTATGTGTATCAGTGTATTGCCTGCATGTGTGTAAGTGCACCCATGTGGTGCAGTGTCTGTGGAGTTCAGAACAGGGCATCAGATACCCTGGAACTGGAGTTATGGATACTTGTTAACCACCATGTGGGTGCTGGGAATTGATCCTGGACCCTCTGCAATAGCTAGTGCTGGTAACTGCTGAGTCAGCTCGCCAACCTCTTAATAAGATAATTTAAAATGAAAATGCAGAAGGCTATATCTAAAGTACAGAAAGCATCTATAGAGTGTCTTAAATTTCTAAGAGTAACAAATAAAGGTAGAATATATTAAGACTTGTTTTTTTCTTAAATTTAAATTTAAAATAATTATTTTTTAAATATTTAAGTCATTTTAACAGAACTTTGAAATTATTCTTTTTAAAAAAAAAATTCACTTCTCTTTAAGGTTTTAAGACAGCCAGAAGATAAAATTTTGGCATTTCTTACTTAACTTTTTTGAGCCACTTATTTAATTTTGTAGTAAGTATGTGAATCATTTAACTAGTATTTACCTAAACTACTTTTCTTTAAAAGAACAGAGATGAATAATTATCACAAATAAATTATTTTAATGTAGCACATTAAGATAATCTATAAACTTTAGAATTTTTTTAAGCCTTGAGCCAGGTTTTTTTTATATTTAGAGTGATATCCTACACAGGCTTGGTATCTATATGTACTGCAACAAGCCTGTTTGTTGGTTTTTAAAATGCAGTAGTGGTTCATAAATTCTTTAAAATATTTATATTTATACACATATATATATACACAAAATTTCCAAAAGCACAGAGATAAGTGATCTTTTTTAATCCTTGAAATAAAGACTTTAGCATTTTAGGAGAACAATTGTCCATAGGAAAAATTGACCCTTGGAGCAGGAGTAATCATCTCTCAAAGTTAACCGTGTAATTGCTACGACACAGCTAGATAGCTATCAATCTTGTGAGGAACCTGTCAGCCAGCACATAAACTGCAAAAAATAAGATAGCTGTTAACCAATCCATTGGACACAACAGTGGCCTTTCACTATGTCCTTTTCGGGTGCACTCACCTACATGCAGGCAATACACTCATACACATAAAATAAAAATAATATATAAAATATTTTTAAAAATCAGTTTCCTGGGGGCTTGAGAATGGCTCAGCGGCTAAGAGCACTGGCTACTCTTACAGAGGACCTGGGTTCTATTCCCAGCACCCAAATGGCACTAATAACTGTAACTCCAGTTCCAGGGGACCTGACACCCTTTTGATCTCCACAGGCTTTGCATGACACAGGTGCAATACATGTAGGCAATATACTCATAAACATAAAATTAAAATAATTAAAAATGAATCAATTTCCTATAAAATGTCTTCCAAGATAATTACATTCATTTGATCCTAAAAGTGATTTCTTCCTTGTGGTTTGAAATAAAATATGAAGAGTGCTCATAATTGTCTGACATTAGACCTGTTTTATACTTTTCCACATATTTCAGGTGAGCATTCTTTGAGATGTTTCTCCCTGGGATCACTCATATTAGAGTTTGAGCCAGTCCTGGTCACAGCTATAAGATGAATTCAGTTCTGTGAGGGAAGGCTGGGGTACTTAGTGCATCTAATTGTTAGATGGCCCTGAGCCAAAGAAGATGGGATCTGTGTGGGGGTGGAAGATCCCTAAAGAACCACATTATACAATGTAACCAAGCACACAGCACAATGTAGGTGAGAGTTAGCTACTTGGGTAGGGTAGGAACAAGAGAAACAGGAAACTGACAGAGGACTCACAAGGGACACTCACTCATTTTCCATCAACTTTCATTCAGTAGATATTTTGTAGATAATAGACAGTAGAAAGCATTCACAGAGTACTGTTGTCTACTCACTAATCTATACATTACAAATTACACTATGAATTTAAAGACAATTTCTTGGCTACTTAGACTTTGTATTGTAACTGGTGAAATACACAATGAGCACACTGAGACACAAATCAAGGGCATAGCGCATCTTACAATACTCAACATAAGTGAAATGATCAGAGTTCTCTGACAGAGTCAGAGGGGCTGTGACAGAGTAAGAGAGGGCTGTGACAGAGTAAGGGGGGCTGTGACAGATTAAGGGTGCTGTGACAGAGTCAGAGGGCCTGTGGCAGAGTCAGAGGGGGTTGTGACAGAGTCAGAGGGGGCTGTGACCGAGTAAGGGGTCTACTTTAGGTGGGAGGATCAGCATAGGTCAGAGGATTTCTTGGCAGTGCTGAAAGCCAAGCTGAGATCTGAAGATGAACAGGAGCCTGGCGCACTAATATTGGTCAAAAGAACTTTTCAAATGTATTGAAGAACAGGACCACACGTGGGGAGTTCAGAAACCTGAAGAGAGACCAGCATTGCTGCATAGACTGCTGGGACATTTCCCTGCCAAGAATCGAGGTGTGCGGTTCAGGCCAGGTGCAAATCATGTGGAACCTTGTGTATCATAGTCTGAACACTTTGAATTTTATTGCAGGAGGAATAAAAGCCGTTGATGCACCTCAGGAGACCAGCAATATGTTTTTATTTGTGTTGTGTATATTGACTAGGATACAGGATGAAAATAACCTCCCAAGGCAGTGCGGACTACCCCAAGGGAGGCTGTGTTAGAAAGCCAGCTGATCCGTGTAACTGCCCGGGGCACCGTCGCTTGGCTCTGAGTTGTTTTTTCAGTTAGTCTTTGCTCCTCCTATTTTTTTAACATCAACCTATGTCTACCATCTGATTTACCAAAAAAATACTCTCTTATAATTGAATTCTCTCCAGATTTGTGTTATAGACAAGTCTCTTTTCCTTCTTCCTTTCTTCCTTTTTTCGCTATTAGGAATCCAGAGTTGGGGCTGTGGCTCTCCTGTCACCGCTCCCTCTGTACTCCGTTTCAGAGAAATTATGCAAAAACCACTTTACCCTGTGTATATCAGTCACTACAGATATAAGATACAGCAATGTCTACCAGAATATGTGGAACAAAATGTGGAGGACAGACTATGTGTTCTATGATGAGCAGAGAGATGACTTCATTCCTACATGTCTTTAGTGTGAAGTTACATTGACTCTGAGTGAGGTGCTTTTGGCGTCAGACGTGTTTTAGTCCTGATGAAGAGCTGAGTGGAAGCGTCAGCTTCTTGGTCATTACTTATCTCTGGCCAATTGTATGGTTTTGCACCAACCAGAGAGACAGAGAGACACACAGCACAGACCTAAATCAGGGAGATCTCAGAGGCAGGTGCTCAGCAGACGGGTGCCTGCTGCTGAGTTTGTGCTCAGGTCTTCCTGAGGTTTCTGCCACTGTGTCACTCAGAGCACAGTAGTACACAGCCGAGTCTGACTCTTGGACTGAGGCTTTGTGCAGGTGGAAGGAGGAGGCGTCTTTGACATATGTGGCTTCAAACCCTTTCTTGGTTCCCTTCTCATTGGCCTTTGAGGCTCTGAAGAGGAGCTGTGGACCTTCTCCGGGATACTGGACGTACCAGAACAGAGTAGGGTACCCCGAGGCTGAGTAAGTGCAGTTTATAGTCAGGAAGTCTTCTTCTGAGAGGGTCACTTTACCTTCCGTCTGAGTCACAGAGTCTCCATGGATCCTTCCTGTAGGAAAAAAAAATATGTTAATCCACATGAAAAAGAAAGCTCTTAGATAGATTCATAGCTTAAAATCTTTTCTGACATCATGGAAGAAACTAAAAGTTTTATGTTCACATCACTCACCAAGAACTAAGAGCATGACAGTCACTAAGCCCTGAGAGTTCATCTTTAGAATGCCGCCCGAGTGATGTTGATTCCTCAGAAGAAGAAATGTTGAAGTCATAGAGAAATGAAGAGTCAGCCTAAATTCACCCAGGAAGAAAGCCAGCTAGAAACTGAGTTAGGCAGCTGCGCACCCTAGTGGACAGTGACTGACGAGCGGCAGGGGTTAAAGGTGTCCTTGGATTAATTCCCAAAGTCAGAAATGTGTCTTCATTCATGATTTATTTATAAGACACATGTCAGCCTTCAGGCTTCACTTATGAATATAAGGCAGAGATTTCTAACTTCTGTTTTCCTTAGGACTTGTACCTGGCATGAAACTGCTAAATGAGAGCATCCGTGGTGCCTCCGGCTGAGGAGCTATCAGTTGCTTTGGGCATTTTAATTTATGCCTTTGTATTCTCATGTGTCTGTTGTATGTAAGCCTGTGATCTATTGACATGTCAAAATGATTAGGCTGAAATTGTAGCAGCAATAAGAAGTCATGTCATTCTTATGTGAGTCCACTTCATAGCACTCTACCCAACATGGAAAACAGTGACTGACATTCTTTGGGTGTCCATGATATATTTGCTAAAATGAGTAAAAATAGTAATGAATAGGTGGCTTGGGTTGAGCAATCAGCACACTTGGAAGCTCACATTTTTTTTTCTGTAAGAATATGAACTTTAATGAATGTCTTTTTAAAATAAAGTCTTTTCAAAGGGTGAGGTTACACAATGTAATCAATTGTTAAATATTTTTGAATTTCAGGATTGTTGGAAAGGGAAAATTGTGTAACTCAGACTGAAATAACACTATAACTTCAGTTAGAATCCTATGGAATGATCAGAAATTGATGTTCTCTCTCCCACAATAGTAGGAAGGGTTAGATGGGGTGAGAAATCGGAGGACCGGGCAGAGGAGGGAGTATGGGGACGGTTACCCAACACTAAAGGCCTTCAGACATTGCATGTTCTCTCATTTGTGGATTCTACCCCCAGATCCTTGGGTACAATGTGCCTCTCACTACTCATCAAAGAAGCTTCTTTTGAAACAGAGACTATTATAAATTCCACACCTGGTTAAATGCAGAGAATAAGTGAACGTGAGGTGCTCAGCCTAAATGACACATCTACAATGTGAATTCTACACATAGAGCCCAGGGAACGCCACAAAAGAGAAAGTGAGAAGAGTGTAAGCAGAGGGACCAGACACCTGCTGTTCATTAATCTACAGCTGCTGGGGAAACTACACCAACGAAATCACCACAGTGTGGTAACTTACCAAGACCTGCACAAAGAGAAGCCAGCTGACATGCCAAGTGGATGAGGGGATGGCATGGGTCCCATCTCAAGATGAAGAGCTACAGGCATTCAATGGTTATTGAGGGAGGGAGAATCAGGTTTCTCCCAGGACTAGATCTCTGAGGGGTTGTCTAATCCCAATAGGCAGCCTTAAATACAGGTACATATGAACAGTACTAAATGGACTCAGTGCATTTTACACACACACACTTACACACACACACACACACACACACGTAATGAAGAAGATAAGAAATTGAGAGGAGTTGGGAGGATGTGGAAGCAGTTCATAGGGGCTCAGAAGAAAGAAATAATGCAAGGACAATATTCATCTATAAACTCCTCAAAAAGTAAAAAGAATTAAAAAATAAAATACTTTTGGTGAAATAGAAGGGGAATTGACTGAAAGTAAAAAGAAAAAGAAAGAAAGAAAGAAAGAAAGAAAGAAAGAAAGAAAGAAAGAAAGAAAGAAAGAAAGTCATATGGAAAAACCACTACAGAGGTTTCTTAAAGTATATGCATAATAAAAAGAGATTAAAAGGTGCTATCTTATAGCAGGGGTGTATAGTCCCTACTAGACACTATAGACTAACACAGTAAAGGCCCAATGCCAGGAATGGACTCCCTCTTTTGAAGCTGCTGACAGCAGGTCACAGACAACATCAAACAAACTAGCCATTGTCCTGCTTTTTAAAAGTTCCTTATCGGAACCTTATCACAGAGGACACTAGATACATGATCTGTAGAACAAACAAGGAAAAATCAAGCTGGAACTGACCAAATATTCATCTCTGGGCTAGCTTTCATAGTGCTGGAAGGTACTATAAATGCTATCAGAAGACAAAATTAATCATCAACTTTAACCAGCTGCAAATCCTGCAAGCTACAATAGCAACTGGCCTGGCAAGATATGTCAACTAGTGCAATAGTGGCACAAATACTGTGTGGGTAACCAATCACTTTATAATTGGATTTAAGGTCCATTTCATACGATGCAACCTATATCTAACATTGATATCAGGTCTAGGAACCTGAAGCTAGACAGGTCACAGGACATAGGGGAGAACCTACTACTATTATTCTGCTAAGTGGTTATAGTATTAAACTGACTACTAATGACATAGACTAATGCATCTCTCAACTCTCATCAGAGAAGGTTTTAATGCAGCAGATGGAGATTAACACAGAGAATCACACTGGTCAACATGCAGAGAACAAGAGGCTGAACTTACATTAAATTTATATATATTAAACTTCTGCCTCCCAACACTCAGGTATCACTGCAGAAATTGGGGCAGAGGGATTGTAAGAGTCAGAGGTGGTGGATAATTTCAAAGAAACAAGGCTGTTAGCAATTTACGTAACCTCTTCTGAGGATGGTATGATAAGAATAGAAAGTAGGAATTGGCTAGGCAGTTAGGGTAGAACTATCCCAAAGAAAAGTAGCCAGTTTCTTGGATAAAACTCACAATGTCCTTGGGCCTCTTAGCAAGCATACTCTATTCCAAAGGCCAAAAATGTCAAAAGTATGTGGGAGCTCTTATCTAATCTCTAAAAGATTTTCGGGTCACCTCTTCAGAGGGGGAAATGTTGGAGTAGCAAAAAGCCCCATTTAAAAGGAAAGAGAAAGAAGGAAGGAAGGAAGGAAGGAAGGAAGGAAGGAAGGAAGGAAGGAAGGGAGAAAAATTATCAGAAAAAAAGTGATGGGGAGATATGGGAGGTGTTGGAAGGGAGGGAGTGGGCGTGGATTTGATCAAAACACCTTTATATGCGTGTATGAAATTCTCAGTAACGTTTTTTAAAAGTTAAAAAAGATAAAGAAACAAGGCTGCCAAGAAGGTTCAACTATTAAGGGCACATTCTGCTAAACCTGACAACTTCAGTTTGATCCCCGGAACCCACATTGTGGAAGGAGAAAACTGATTTCCACATTTGTCCTCTGACCTCCATATGTGCACTGTGACACACATACAACATAAAATAAACACACATATGTCTGCGCACACATACAACATAAAATCTATAAAATAAAACATACAACAAAAAAAATAATCTTCACTTTGTTAAACAGTTTGAAGACTCAGACACCTGAATCCCCTCATAAAGAACCCCTTTTTATTTACTTTTGAGAGTCCAGTGCTATTCATGAAGTTCAGATTAGACACCGTAGTGTTGTCATTAGTCATGACATTTGGCGTTTATGCTGTCTGTGCTTTCGCAACTAGGAGCCTAGATGAGCCGCACCAAGTACCCTGTTCTTCATGCCTGGCTCTGAAGGGAAGAGACCTGGGTGCCCCCAACTCCCTGCATGTAACTGAGACAGCCAGTAACAGTCCAAGGAACAGTGATAAACCTGTCTTTTTTCGTGCCTTTTTGTGATATTACTCAAAAATACATGGTAAAGACCAGAATCTATTACTTCTCACAGTCAATTCCTTGCACAGGATTGAGAGCTTATCCTCTTAACAAAGTGGTAGTTCAATCCTATTATATTTGCTGGTGCGAAAACCAGTAGCTCCTGCATTGGAGTCTTCCTTAAATCCAGTGATATCACACATACTACAATTGCTCTGCTCTCTAAACAGATGCAATGCTTTTCTCCCCAGAGGGTGACACTTGTGAGATAGGAGTGATTTCTTCCCATAGTATTCAACTTCACCATACTACTCATTGAAGTCTCATAACCACACTTCTGTCTTCCTAGAAGTATTCCTGTCCAGATAAGGTGTTTGATACTCTCATGTCAAATTTTAGAAAGGGATCATAACAAGCAGTTTATCCAATAACTGGTCATGTCTCAATTATAAAATCCAATCCCTAGGGTCAACAAGATGACTCAGTGAGCAAAGGTGCTTGATGCAGTGCCAGGCTACCTGAGTTCAATTCCAGGTACCCACATGACTGAAAGACAGACTCCTTCAGACTTTCCTCATGCTGCCCAAACAATAAATATATTTTAAAAGCCTAGTTATTAAAAATGAATAGATAAATAAAATCCAAGTCCTGAACAGAAGCAAAATTAATTCAGGTAGCTGAAATAGTGACTCCATTATCAGTAGATCAAATCAAAAGGAATGCGATGGTGTATATATTTCAATATGGTTCAAAGCTTCCAATTACTCTGGAGCCAATGAGGTCTTAGCCTTTTAAACCTTTGCTTCTTCATCAGCTGACATATTCCTGTTGAAAATGGACACCATTAGATGGATATTTTTCCTGCTTTCTTACTACTCAAAGTGATTTTTTGTTATAATGAGAAAGTCCCACAGTGTAAAAGAAACTTGGAGGCCTTAGGGTACAACTCTTGAGTGGTTGATGATGGTGACTAGTCTTTTGTTGGTGACCTTCAACTCAGTCCTTACCCAAGGCAAACTCATAGAAAAGCATCAATTCCATACATTCGTTTTTAGATGTAAAAAGTGATCCTAATTATGTAAAGAAGCACTACAAGTGGTTGATCTATTTAGTCAGTGAGAATAAAATATTTGCAAAGCCAGAAAATTGGCCTGGTGGAACCAGGTGACCTTCAATGACCATTTGCTAAAGCTTTCCAGACATAGTTCATCGTAGTTGGAATTGATTTAAAATTAATTGAACACTTGTGGGAAAACTTTGGTATGATGATGGGAATTTGGTCATTCTGTGTTTCCTTGGAACTAACAAAATTTAATAAAAAATCTGTAAAAGTGGGATGTTAGTTGGAGCATGGTCCTAAAGAACCCTTTGAAGATCCCCAAAGGGAGTTTACAGGATTGTATCATCTATAGGGGAATTACTAGTCTGGTCCCGCAAACTTGGTCTGTACTGCATGCTGTGATGTTAATGCATCTCTTGCCTGATGGACCCTCAACTCAGTACTTCTCCTTCTTAAACATCCTCCCTTCTTGATCCACTCCCCACACCTAAGGATCATTGCTGAAAACCCTGCTGAGGGATATCATA